ACGAACTATTTTCAATTTGATCAATTTTCTGGAACGTTTACAATCGTTCTATAATCGAACCAATATACAATAACAAATTCGAATTTAAAACTGTTCGAACATTTTTAAAATTGAAATAGATAAAAATATTTATAACAATGTCTGAAATATTATCAATTTAATACATCTAATTACTCAATGAAAATTAAATGTAGTTGAAAACGAAAAATCGCATCTAAAATAGTACAGTAGAAGCCGTTCTTCCGGTTAAGCCTTAATCCACTCCCTCTCCTCCCCGCGGGGGAATTTCGGAAAATCCCTTCTTAGTGCGCGTTTTCATGACGTACCCTAACTGTGTACCAAATTTCACCCCTTTAGGTTCAGCGGTTTGCTCTGGGCGATGATGAATCAGTCAGTCAGGACAAGTAATTTTATATATTTAGATATACGTTAAAGCAGAGTTTTCATATTTTGATTAATAAAAAAATGTTCATATTTTCAACATATATTTCTGAATAAGTTTTTTATTTGATAATACATTTACATTAAATTATCATTATTAATAGTTTTATTTATCAAACCTCAAATTTGTTTAAAACAAATTTTAAAAAAAAGATTTAATATAATTTCAGGGATATTGCTTTTAAACTAAGATAAAATTTAATTGTCATAAAAAGCAGTTTATTACTTCACTTCTTTAATAAACTGTCCTTGATAAATGGTAAAAGTATCTATAATATTAATTTAATTTTTTCTGGAAATATTTAAATTTACTTTAAAGATACGATTTCTCTATAAAAAATTATGTCAATTTAAATAAATGTCTAAATGTACGATTTTTATTTTTTAATTAAAACGTATAATTAATCATTCATTATATTTAAATATTATATTTTTAATTCTTAGCAATTGAAATTATTAAATATTATTATTGTTCTTAATTAACGTGATATGAACAACTTTAAAGATGATATAAATTTCTTTAAATAAATTTAAAAACTAATGTAATTATTAATATAAAACAGCAAATTCTCTTTTTTATTTACTTTTTTAGAAAATCATTGAGTCGTCATACATCTAAGTTCGTTTCCTAGAAATTACTTTTAAACTATATAACACCATACTAGAATGAAAAAAGTATTAAACACGATTTTTCATACAATTGTATACAAAATTTATACTAATCATAAAAATTTCCGGTCGTAACGAGATTTCTATTAATTTCATCGTTTTTTTTCGTCTTATAGATGAAATTTTTAATTTATTTCATTTATTTAGTTTATTAATTTTTATTTGAAATTTAAAGCAAGTTTTTAAACGATCAGAATAATTCTGTTTTTTAATAATTTTTCAAAAGAACTCTACAAGGAAAATTCACAGAATTGCAATGATTGTTGTCACAACTTCCATTGAAAGGAAAGGTGAGAAAGCTGTATAAATAATGGAATTCTTGGAATAATACAGATAATAATGTTTTTAATACAGTTTTAGAAAATTATTCAACATTGTTAATAAATTTATATTAAATAAAATATTATGTTTAAAACTCTTATGGGTCGAAATCATGACGCAATCAAATATGCCAACACAATCGAAAGCCTCATATCGTAATTGTTTCTACAAATTTTTAACCCGATAAAATTTTGAAAGAAAATTTTTATTAATAAATTTTTACAGAACTCGAGGGATTCTTATTAACGGTTCAATACAAATAGTTCAAGCAAAAAAGGGCACAAATAAATTTAACTCAACAAATGTTTAATGTTTCATTTAACAGTTTGTTCTCTGTCAAACAAATACTCTGTAAAGTTTGCTTAACAATAATAACTATTATTTATACAGATATATAGATATTAAATATTATATTAATAGATAACACGTTATTGCCCAATAGACTATTTTTTACAATAAAGTTTATGATTAATGAAACTGTGAACAGTTATAATCACATATAAAACATTCACACTATAGAGTTTATTCCATATCTAAAAGATATAGAAAAAAAATATTTTAAAATACCCAGAAAAAAATAGATAAATAATCAGTCAATCTAATAAAATAAATATAAATTATATTAAGGTAAATGGATTGTGGAAAAATATCGTGAAAAATGAATGCGTTTAATGTAAGTTACTTTCTTTCTTAGACTAATGTAATATGGTACAACAACCCATAAAAAACGTTAAGCGAGTAAAAGAGTGTGGCTAAATATTGTTATCATGTGATATTTGTTTGCCAAAAAATATTTTTAAAAATTATATTAAAATAAGTATTTTGTAATTATTTTAGTGATATCTTTAAGATATAACAAGTTGCTAAAATTAAGATGGCAAGCTTAATTAAGATGACACTCTTATAAATATGAAACAAAAATTAATTAAAAATTTAAAAAATACTTTTGTTTTCGTTAAAGTTATAACTCGTATATTTATACGAATATTAAGGAAACAGTTTGAGTTAATAAAACAAAGAATTGTTTTAAATTAATGGCGTTGATTGACTACATGAAACACAAAGATTTAGGGTGAAAACTTATATGATGTAAAATTCAGTAAAAAATTACTTAAAAATTTAAAAACAACACTTTCATTGTTAACATTTCTCCCGCGGGGAAGAACTTCGCACTTTACCTGGGTAAACCGCGATGTTTTATTTTATTTTTTGCTTTACTCAAGGCTGCCGGGTAAAATGTGTTATCGTACATCATCATTTATCTTCATTCTTGGCATTACCTATACATATACATATGTAAGCAAGAATGCCATTTTAATAATTTTAAATCACATCATTAAATTCCACGAGTAAAGTTACGTCTATCAGATCTTTTTTGGATATTTAGACAGTTCTCCTTTCATTTGTATAGTGGACAAACAAACACATAGAAAATATATAAATATATATATATATATTATATATATGCATACAATAAAAAATAGATTAAATGTCCAGTTGATTGTTTATAGAATTTTCTCCCTTTTGAAAAATATCTCGATGAAAATTTCATCGAGAAATTTTTCAAATGGGAGATTAAAAGCAAAGTATTCCCCTCCAACCGAAACCGAAACTAACACTTTACAAAAAGTGCTGTAAATAGAGACTCAACTTTTCCTGTATGAAATATAACCAAACGAATCAAGTCCAACAACAAATACTTATTCCACAATTTTCGAAATATTATGTTTCAGTTGATTTAATTTTAATTAACTAATTAGTTGATTTTAATTTTATTTTATTTTTAGTTTTAGTTTCAGTTTCGGTGTAAAGGCCAGTTTTAATTATTTTATTATTTTTAAGTTGAATTATTATTTTTAATTTAATTAACTGTCTACCTAGTATTAATATTAATAAATATTAAATATTAATATTATATTAATAATTTTTTGTCATTTAATTTAACTTAAGCGTACTTAAACACAAATTCTTGAATGCCATTTATATTATGCGAATGTCAATTAACGTGGTATTTATTAATTAATGTGATTTAAATAACAACTTCATCGGTGATTCGTTGCATAACACAGGACGAGATCTCGGCGCCACTGACTTCTGAACCAGTAGTCTTATCGTTGATTAGTCAGATAGTTGAGTTTCTTTAACACAGGAAATATAAGGAGTTGATCATCGGTGGCCGGCTCTTTGCTGATTAGTTTGTTCGACAACTGGAGCAAATATGCGTTTAAAGTTTTGTTTATAAACCGAATTGTTCGAAAAGCGAGGCGTTCGAAACCCAAAGTTTCACTATATCAAAACCACAGTGAATATAAAGATGTTCAGAATTAATTTCAACCGTGTGATAACCGCTTGTTTACACGCATTAAAAATAATTTATTGTTTAAATGTTATTAATCAATAAATCTAATACTCTTTTAAATATTTTTGTTAAAGTTTTTCATCTTTAACGTTACAAGTGGCATTGTTAACTTATTGATTCACTCGCCCCGATGCCGGTATTTGTTTATAGTCAAGTGTTTAATTTCATTATTTATTTCATATTTTATTTATTTCATTATTTATTTCTATTTATTTCTATTTATTTCATTATTTGTTTAGAAACAGTCGTATAGTCGTATAATCGTATACTCTTAGCAAAAATCAAATTTTATTGTCTTGTTATTATGAAAATTTATAAAACAAGACTGTCTAAAACTATGAAAAAAATATCGAACTATTCCAAGAATGTAATTATGTGTACATAATAAATAATAATTTAAAACATAGTTAATTAAAAAATTTAGCAACGAGTTGCGTAACTTTCCCGACTTTTATGCGATTTTATTTAAAAAATAACATTTGTATTATTAATCAAAATAAATAACTAAAATTTATGTAACGCCATCTGTTGTGATATTTTATTATAAACATTTTATCTACTTTTTAATTGTTATAAAATAGCACAGGACTTAATTTTGAAGGAGAGATGAGTTTTATAAAACACTGTAAATACTAACAAGTAAAATCTTCATAATTAAATATTGAAATTATTATAAAATATTTATTTTACAGGGACCAATTGGAAGACCAGGACCTCCAGGCTTTCCAGGATCTCCTGGCTCCAAGGCAAATATATTCTTTAAAAGATGTTTTTAATAACTTTAATTACTATCATAATTATTAGTGTGTTTAATTTTTAATAAGTTAGTTTAAAAAGTTCTTTCAATTTGAATACTTTAATTTATTTTAAAATATAAAAAAAGCATCAAATAATTAGCTTTCAATCTGTTATTTTCTTATTTTTTCTTTTGCTTAAAAGTAATTTTTCTTACATTTTTATAGTTTTGTTTAGGAATGGGTTAATTTGAAAAATATTAAAGCATTTGATTATCTAAATCAGTCAACATATCTCAAATGATTTAAGAATTATTTGGATGGTTTACTTATCCCTTTTTGGAACTTTTCAACTTTAATTTGAAGAAAAACTTGCCCAAAAATTTACAAAAATTCCTCAGTTCACCATTAAAATTTTATAACAAAAATTATTGTTTCATAAGAGAGGCAATTGGCCCTCATTGGAAAATACTGCACAGTTGGGCAATTTCATATCACATGCTGTAAAAATTGATGTCTAAAGAAATGAGTTATTTAGATAATGTGATTCTTTCTCATAGTGGACAGTTGAAAACAGTTTCAATTTATAAGAATACTTATTTAAAATAAAAACATTTGAAGTATTTAATAATTTTATAAATTAATATTTATTAATTTAAGTATATTATTACTAAGTATTAATAATGAAATTTTAAAAATCATTTGAGGTCTTTCACATTTTTATGCTTAATATGATATTATGTGCTTAATGTAAAGTGATTATACCATTTTAGCATTAAACATTTGATAAATTGAAAAATTTATTTCAAAGAAAGTTGGTCAATTTAATTCTAAATGTATGAGAGACTTCAAAACCAAGAATAATAAACAAATATTGACAATTATATTCTTGCTTCCTTTTTATTACTTTACAATTCTCTAACTTTTCTGTTTATTTTGAAAATTCGCTGTTTTAAAATAGTCATGTTATTTCTGATATTATTACCATGATTTTCTGACTATAATTCACAGAGGAAATTTTTCACCAACAAAAAAGCTTACCATATAATTTTTACAATTTTGCATTATCATTTACTTGCAAAGTTTGGCATCAGCAATGAAAAATGAAGCAATTTGAAAGGCCATTTATTAATCAAAAATAAGTATTCTTGAATCTAGGATAGAAATTAAACAATTTACTTTAAAGCAGTACAATGAAAATTTAATATTAATCCAGAATTAAAATTTTATGTACAGAATCCAGAATTATAAAATAGTCTGTCTCCGAGGTAGTCTCTGAGGTCAATAGTGCTGAAACTAGTGTATTAAAAATTTATTTTTGAGTCCAAACAATTGATCTGACTTGTTAATGACAAGGTTTAATAATTAAATGTTAAATGTGATACTGTAATAAGCAATAAATAACACTATATTATTGATGGTGAATATGTGATCCACAGCTCACTGTGTGACACATGAGACAAATTCAAGGTACCCAGTTTGAAAGTTTAGAAAGTATCAGTTTTTACAAATTATAAAAAATATTTGATAGGTTTCAAAACTTGCATATGTAATGTGAAAGGAGGGTCGTAAGGCTGTTTTAGAAAGTCTTAAAGGCCACCAATTATGAACCTCAGATAGAAAAATTATCATCAAGTAAATAATAGCAAATTCCCCATTAAATGAAATATTTGTTTCCATTATAATCACATTACTATTTTCTTTACATTTTTGCAGAGTTTACTTTATTTAACTGTACACTTACAATAAGTGTAAAGTTAAATAAAGTAAAATTTGTAATCTTTTTTTTTGTCGTTTTTAATTACTCAAGTTAAATGTTTGATCTGCAATTCGAAGTTAATAAATTTTAAATTTAATTTTGGCCCATCTTTGGAAAAAAGATTCACCATCACTGCATTATATAACAGTAACTTGTCAGTTTATACATGATTAACTAAAACTTGAGTTCACACCATTTCTACCCAAAAGTTGAAAATGACACTAACTTTCTGCAGAGTTGCTTGGGTAGAAATTATCACTTTAATTTCAAATTTATAGTAAAGATTAAGGAAATGAATAATAAATTAGATAAATAAAAATTAACAATAAAAATAAAATCAATCCAACATGAAGATTGCAATACTCCCATAGTATGATTTTTAGTGATTTTCAATGTTACTGTCTTCTTGGTTTTTCTGCAAATCTTTGCATTAATAAAATATCATAATTAAATTGCTCCTACAATAAGAACTTTCTTGATCCATCATTAGAACATATTTTCAAATTTTTCCACAAAGTCAAATGTTTTTGTTAAGAAGAATGTGTTCTTGACATGACATGACAAAAACTTTGCTTAGACATTAAGTTAGACACTTCACTAATCATTATCATGTAGTAAAAACATCTTATGCTTAATCTCTATTATTTTTTAAACAAAGATCAACTTAGAGATATTTATTGGAAGACTGATCAATATGTAAAAGACAATATTTCATTTACAAGTAGAAATGATTCCTTTCCTTTTGCATCTTTGTATTTTTCACCTGCCTGACACAAACAATAACAAGATACCTGTCATGTTTTATCAGGACAAGAAAACTTTGTGACATGACAAATAGTAAAATGATTTTAGAGGCATTTTTTGATATGGAAAAATTGTCATAGATTTTATGCTACAGCCTATAATCTGTATTATTGAAATCAGAAGGATTTGTTTAATTCATAATCCAATGATTATAGGCAGAACATTATAATAATTATTTTCAACAGTGTTATTACTTTGATTAAAAACATTTATACACATTTCTACATCAAAATATGACATTGGCATTAGTAAAATTAACTTTATAATAAAGCTACAACAACAGCCATATGACATTGGCCATGTATTGAGAAAAGATGTTTATATAAAATTAACTTTAATTTTGCATAAATTTAACTATTAAATAGTAGAGAATTGGGAAAATTACAAGCAAAAACAAGTTCTTACTGTCTTAATTTTTGGTTATGAACTACAACATAAATTGTTANTTTAGAGATTTTAAAATAACTTTTATAATTTTGAGAAAATGTATGATGATAAATATATTTATAATTTAATAAATCTGTAAGAAGGATACTGAGAATTGACTATCAATATCACAAGTAAAGATAAAAAAGATATGTGACAGTCATGGACTGAAAATAAAATAAATGACGTTTATGTATTTTAAATACAATAATTATGTAAAATGAATCATTTTGTGAAAATATGATTACTTAAAAATAACATGATTTAAAAATATCTGGTCTTACTCAGAATTTAATTAGAAACTCTCTCTTACACATTGATTATCAGTAAAAAATTGATTTTTAATAAAACTTTAATAAGTTAAAAATATTTAAGTAAAGGCACACACACATTTGGTATTTGCCAAATGCTGAGCAAACATTTGGCCAATACCAAGTAGTGTGGATGATTTACTTGTAACTTCACTCAACAAATGTTTGGTATTCTCCATTTCCCACTCCTTGTTGATGCCAAAATTATATTGTGCCAAATGAAAGGGAATGAATCGTGGACAAACATTCATAATTCATACAATGAACTGATGCTTGGCAAATAATTGTGTGTACATATGTATTTGCCATATGACAAAAACTTCAGCAAATTCTTCAGTGAAAGGCAATATCTGTAAATACCAAATGTGTGGAGCTGTATTAATATATAAATAATAGTATAAATATAGTTTTTATATTATTAGCACATTAAACAAGATTTTTTTCTTTAAATGAATACATGAGTTCACATAATATTCAATTATAAATATTCTTTTTATTAAAAAAGAAAAATTTAATATTTTATTCATAAAATTACATATTTAATTAATCTGCAAGAAAAAATATTTCTATAAATTTACAAGTACAAATATATATTAATAAATTTAAAAAATATAATCTAAAATTTTTTGTGAATAATCACTACTACTTAGAACTGTTTACAGATAGTTATATGAGAAATTATTGATGACATAGAATTTAAATAATTAATTTAAATTACTAATAAAGCATTTTCAACTTATTATGTGCTAATAAAAGATCATTTATTGTAATAGAATGTTTTTGAAATTTCTATTAAATTAGAACAAGAAACTTAAATGGAAACATATTTGGCTTGAAAATATGTTCTTCAGTAAATAGTGTAACAGACTCTTGTATTATAATTTAAAATTATAGTATAACATCCTAACAGCTGAATATCTAGTGTTTTCCTAACAAAATATACAATAGATTCTATTAAGAAAATAATATAATAATAATTACTTCAATTTAGGTTTAATAAAAATTCTATAATTATATTTATTTATATTATATTGTATTATTAATTAATTATATATAAAATTACATAAGTAAACTGGTATTTTATATATAATTATTTAAAATATTGCTTTATTTTTCTATTTTTCAATTATTTACAAATATAAAAATGACTATAAATTAATATCATAGTTAATATCTTATCACTATAATATTTAGGCAATCGTTTGGTAATTTATTATATTGATATTATTTTCTTCTTGTTAAAATATATTATGTTTTATATATTAGGGTCCACCTGGACCAAGAGGTGAACGTGGTAGAGAAGGACCACCAGGACCACCTGTAAGTAGAAAAAGCACCTGTAAAAAATTAGCCTGATGTTTTTAAATATTGAAAAGAAAAATATAGAACAAAAATTATTCTCTTAGAAATTATAATTTTTCTTTCTTAATTTGATTGCTGTTTTATTTGTTAGCTTCTTAACTTCACTCCAGTTCTCTGGTCATCTGTAACCTTCTCAAATCAAATTTCCTAAAATCTGTCTAAAGAAACAAGATATTCTCTCTCTCTCTCTCTCTCTCTCGGAAATTCTATTAAAATCTTTTAGATGTTATGTCTCAAATACAATGTTTCAATTTTAATCTTGATAATTTATGTATTATAGTTTATTAATTAAGAATTGTGAAATCAGGAACAGTCATAAAATTAACTTTCATTTAGATTCTTGTTCTTGGTTTTGTCTATGTTTGGCCTTCTGTGTCTAGTCGTCTCATATCTACTTTCATACACTTTCATATATTAATAAAATGCTTATAGTTTAACTTAAGATTTGTTCGTGCTTGCTGATAATATTTTTATTCTTGAACTTTTTAAGATAATTTTTAAGAATATTTTAATTGGAAAGAGTGAATTGTATCAAATTAAATTAAATTAAATTTTATATAATTTTTCAAATAAAATATAAACTATTGTATACAAGGGGTGTTCAAAAAGTATCGGACCTTTATTTTTCCCACGTAAACCAATGATGCACGGGAGGTCTCTTTCGGTGAAGTTGTGGAGGGGACAGTCATGCACAGTCCTGAATTTTTTCTTGCTTGCAGGAAGCGTCAGTTGCTGGCAGTTGGCCTATGAGTGAGAATGTGTAGTGAGCGCTCGTCGGATTCCAAATTTGGAAAATGACTGAACAATGTGAGCAGTGATATTGCATCAAATTTTGCCAAAAGCTTGACAATACCCAAGCGGAAACCATTCGCAAGATTCAGCAGGCTTTCGGGGACAATCCTTGAGGCCAAAAAAAGCATGGCAGGTCCACAGCAATGTCAAGGTCAAGTTGACAGTTTTTTTTTACTCCCGTGG